GGCAGGATAATTGGAAGAAATTATACCAAATTTGATTAGTTATACAATTTCTTATCATAGGCTAAATGAGCTAGTAGTTATTTCCTTTACCTTATGCGGTAATTATTCAACTACATTATTCTCAATAAGGTCCATGTATATTCTTTTAGTTCATAATGGGTTGTGGAACTGTAAATAAATGAGATTGATGTTTCGAACTATACATTTGATAATTATTGATGAAGAAAATCACTTTAATATTAACAAGTTTATCTCTTATAAATAATTATAAGATGGATAATTCATAAATAATAAATTATATATCGCTTCTTTTTTTTTTTTGTAAATAAATCAACGGTAAGGCTCTCTCCTTTTTTTCTTTTCTTTTTTTCTTTTTTTTCACAAGCACAGTATTTTCAATTCCTAATGGCTGAGAAGTGGTACCATTTAACGTAGCATGACATGTACTAATTAAGGTTAGTTGTTCATTTCATTGACTGTTGTGCCTCCCATTATAGATATTTTTTGCTACCATGTACTTACAATTTCAGGGTTCTGTCCTTTGTCAGCACCATTTTAAAGTTTGGGTAGCCACCATAGTCCCAAAGCGTCTGATTTCCTCCTTCACTGGTAAAGTCTAACACAAGTCATGATAAGGATTTGGGTATTGGTCCAAAGTCTAAAATCACCACAAATGAATCGGCCAACTTATTAGTTCTGGACTTTTTTCTGCTTCACCAGGTGTCACCCAACATGCTACTTGTCATACAACGTTGGGCAGAGACCCATTTTCGACACTGATCTGATGATGGGTTTTTGACGTTTCCCGGGGTTGGATCACCGATGCTGTGAGTAATACGGGCTTTGGCTCTATTCCTTACGGAGAGAAATAATAATAATAAGAATAATAATAATAATAAATTCCTCAACAAACAAAGTCCAGGCAGAGTAGCCAACTGGCCAATGACTAGAATAGAAGTGAACATATGGGGTGAGCCTGAAAATGGTGACCTTTTGTTAGGTGATTACATGTGCAACATGTGAAGTCGTTAGACCACAGCACCAAACATGTCTAGACTACATTATTAATTGTCAACCTTGAATAATTGAATTAGACAAAATCATTAACTATTACTTTCGATTTAGTTTGAGAGAAACAGAAATAAGGAGGGATGCTTGAAAGGAAAATGGGAGGGAAAGGAAAGGAAATGGAAGGATATCTTCTCTCTTTGTTTTGTTTGGTTATTTTAAAATAAAAAAATTTAAAGCAAAATAATGAGAAAACCTCACCTCCCTTTTCTTTCAATTCTTTTAAACTAAAGAGGGAAATTTCTCCCTTCTCCATTCTCTCTCCACAAACCAAATAAGTTACTAGTATTAAACATTTATACCAAATACTCACAAAGGCAAATTAGGTACTTTCTTTATTCAATTTAGTTGTTTTAATTTAATTTTTGTATAAAATTTAACAACATGATTTTATATAATAATAAATAAATGATAATTAAAAAAATTATTTCTATATGTAATTTCTATTAAGTACTTTACTTTGATAAAAAAATCTTAAAATTTAAAATTTTAAAATATAGAACTATTAAGTTAATTCACATAAATTTAGGGATTAAAACAACTAAAAATAACTTAAAGAGTATATTTTATCAAAAAAGTGTTGAGGTCCATGTATCAATGTACTCCCCCTTGTCTTTTTTAATTATCCAAGTCCCTTAATTTGATGTAAATCAAATTGATAATTTTACATAATAAATGGATGACAATTGAAATTTTTTAATTTAAGTAAAAAAACTTAACAAGAATTACATATAGAAAGATAAAAAAAATTTAATTCTCATCCGTTTATTATATGATATCATTTGATCAGCCATTATATTAAAGTTTTTTTTTTACAATAAAAAATTCTAAGTTAAGTCAGTTAGTATCTGTTTTTTGAAAAAGTCGAACTTATGATCACTGTGCATTCCACTTGTTGTTCAATGGGTAGCGTGGCCACCACTAAACCACGTGGGGGATTGCTATTAAAGTTAAATTTAAACAATTAAATTCAGTTGAAGAGAGTATATAGTTAAACAATATAATGATGTATTTTAAAACAAGGTCGTTGTTTTGTTGTTGGACTGTATTGCATTCTATAATAAGACTCATTATATAAAAAAAATGACTTTTAAAATCAAGAGACTCATCATATCTAATAATTTAGAATATGTTTGATTTTTGGGAAAGTGAAAAAAAATTTTTTATTTGGTTATAAAAAAATTAGAAGAG